CCACTGATATGGCTCCGCTTTCGGAGTCCCCGGCTGGTAGTGGTTAACACTGACTTAAGATGTGTTGTCTTGTTCTTGTCATAGAGCTAGTGTGAGTTTTGATCAGACACGTGCCATACTGAACCCCTGGAATGACAATCTGAGAGTACATGTCAGCAGAGATGGACAGGTGAATTTATAGATACAAATAAGTGCAAATAAAAAATCTGCTCAGTGATGTTGTAAAATACAAATATTTTGATACTTTGTAGGACATCATAAAGATAGAATACACCATTAGCTTTTTGCTGCAATTCAACAATACCAACTGATTTTGCTGTTTACAATTTGCTGCAGCTATCACTCCAACTCGTACATGGATTTGATGGGTTCACCACCCATGAGACCTTGTGAGATTTTTATTGCATTTAAGTACGCATCGTCACCCCAAATTCTCAGAATTGGAGCTGCTTTTTATTTGGGAGAAATAAATCAAAAGAGATTTCAGGTGGGGATTATACAGCTTTGTAGAAATTTAGCAAATTCAAGCAAATAGAACATGTAAAATTAAGTGACCTGTACGTTGATGAAATTAACTATGTCATTCAAGATATTGTGTAGTGGAGAGTTCCATCTTATGTAATGTTCAATAAAAATCACCAACTTTTTAAAATCTTCATTAGGAGTTGGAGCCATCAGTAGGACAAAATCTTCTTCAGTTGTGGGCTCAAACCACATCCTGTCCGGGAGATGAACACTTATCAATGACATGTTGGGGTCAAGAGGCTAGAGGTCAACGAGGACATCACCTTAGTTTAGACACTCAGCATGGCATTCAGTCCCACAGTCCACAAATCATGATGCATGGCCAGAATTGGCATGGAGACACCAGACTTCAACCACTTGCACATTCATCACCAGCATACAACCAGGGGCCAGCAGCCTACTGCAAAAAAGAGGTGGGACCAGCAGGTGATGGTTCAACAGATGATAATCAGAGCACTGAAGGGACAGTACCCAAAGGGCAAAGATGGTCAATTGATGATGGAAGCGAGAGTGGAATAACAGCTTATGAATGTGAATATCAATCACCAGATGGATTCTATCCACCTCAAGTGCCTTATAGTCAAGACAATTATCAGACATAACAACCTAAACAGTATATTGAATATTCAAGGTTCATTGATGGCCAAAGAGACAAGTTGATTTTTTTCTTGGGAGAATGTGTGTAATAAGATTGTTCTCCTTTGTATCTCATGCTTGCACATCTCATGTGGCCAAATATATGTGTTGTTAGATTTTCTTATCAATTCTGTGTTCCATTATAATATGAGATAGCTTATCTCCAGAGTTTATTGACCATGAACCTTGAATTAGTTTCTTTTAGTAGTAACCTTGAGATTGAGGATAATAAATCCTTAAATAACATTTATGCAGCCTCCAACATGTCGAAACCAAAAGATTTGTTGCTGTTGACTGGTTCTTTTTACATGCTTAGATTATAAAACTACTGAAATTGTTGATCTTTGCTGAATTCCTTCAAATCTTAGGAAACATGCAGTGGTTATTGAAGAATTTCCTGTGATTTAGATTATCAGAATTATTGAGGGTTTAAGAAATTATTGCATGGAATTTCAAAAGGAGGCTCAGAGTCCTGGTAACTGTTACAGATTTGATGAGTTGTGTTTGAATTTGAGATGGCTCTTTCTTGTTAATGTCATTTGGATGAATTAAGGCCATATTTCTGATACTGCCAATCAATTAAGATTTCTGTTAGGAATTCTCATCTTAATTGGGCATTAATGCACACAATCAAATTAATTATAAAGTGAGTGCTCACATTGTTGAAAGTTTTGTGAATCCAGTTTTGTCAGTGTTTGAATTCACAAATTATAATTCTTATCATAAAGGGTGGAAAGATTCAGTTGCGATGATAAGATATTCATTATTGTACATTTCTGTCATTTTATGAAATGATAAAAGTGAAAAAAACGTTCACATAAACTTATTCAGACCGAAAGGGCATTCAAACAATACCCAAACTGTTTTTACCTTTTTAACATTAGGTTGGCTTCATGTGCAAAGTCATGACCAAGATGTGTAAATCAGTCAGTTCTCAAATAATGGTATTCTGAGTCCAGGAATTTGAACCAACAAATGAATTTACGATTGAGGTTAAAATTACTTAACTGAATGCAAACATTATAGGAAGTACTTAGTGCATTGGAAACAAATCTGACTTGCAGCTATTTATCAGTGTATACACAATCTGACAGATTCTTGGGCCGTGTTTGTTCCACACGGATCTGGATCATTGATGTATCGTTGGTTTACAGACACCAAAACTCGCCTATAATGGGAACCAGTGTAAGGATCACTGATCGCAATCCAGATTTATATGAAATAAACAAGCCCTTAGAACATTCCCTCTGATGACAGCGTTTAAAGTAAACTTTTGTAGACCCTAAGCTTTACTCTTCTGTACACCTGTCTGGTCAATTCAATTGTGTCGCAAGGTTTGCAAAAGAATGAATGAATGTGTAAAAGTTTAATCATCCTTTGGAAACACTTGTGAAATGCTAAGCAAACATAGCAGTCCATGTCCCTGTTTGTTCTTATTATTAAGGAGACTGATTAAGCACCAGAATATCCATTGTAGTTATGGATTGTCCTTGTTTTCATCAAATTGTAGAGTTTTAAAATTACATTCAGGGTAAAAATAAGTATGTAGAGTTTATTGAAGGTCTAAGGTATGATATTTATATTGCCAGTTTATAACTACAGAGTTCATTTTTGTTCTTTTGAAGACATCATATTCAATTACCATGTATTTTTGTTTGAAGTCATTTTAGTTTTCTTACATAGTCTTCAACCCTTGAGTTGTAGATGCAGCAGCCATCCAGAAGTTGATATAACTAAAATACAAATGTACACTGTACTTGTAGCCATACAAGATATTCATCACCCATTTTGTTTGCCACATGATTGACAGGCAGGGTCTTTAAAATCATATAATTCATTTGAGAGCTTTGAAAATGATGCCATTTTGTTTGGTACTTTTTGTATTATACATGCTTTCTTGGGTCTGTGCAAACAAAGTCCTTGTTTACCAAGTCCTTGTTTTGAGGAAAAGCTGTAATCATATAGCACTGAAGGTACAGGATGTTAGCCAAAGTATTTCATCCTACATGCAGTCATAAAATAATAAGAGGCACAGTATTAACCGTGTTTGACTTCTTAAAACTCATAGAAAGTCCTCACCAAATGTCATATCTACCACATACAGATTTGATATCTTGATTTCATGTGGCAGCATGTGTTACATGTATTTCTAGCCTGTATATTCTGAAGCGCTTTTTTCTAACTTCTCTCTAAGAAGTTCAAGTTACAATCATAGAGACATTGAGAGAGAAACAGGAAATCTGTTGCCTGGCCTTACCGTGATCGTTGTGTTACGCCTTTGAAATTGTTCCTACTAGTACCAGGGTAGTAGTCAAGACCATCATAAGACCAAACACAAGTAACAGTGTGAACAATGACAAAAGAATGCTTTTGCTGCAATTCACTTGAATAGCTTGTGACTTGAATGCAGAGTGGAGGTCTTGTGTTGGTCTTGTGATGGTTTTGTGAAGGTCTTATAGGCATAGGTTGGCACTAAATTAACAATAGTTTTAGGGTTCTTGTATCATAGGTACTCATGTGCCTGGTGACCACAATCTTTGGAAGCTTCCAGGTTTGTGTTCATGTTGAAACATATGTTATGTCAATGATGGCTGAACTTAAGAACAGTTATATAGGAATGTTTTTATCAAGACTTCGTACATTTGGTTTGAAAATGGAGAAAATTTGATGAACTTTGAATAAAACCTGTCTAAACCCGTCAGTTGAAAAACTTGTGTGTATTGTGCTTTTTGTTCAGGGTATGGTTTCAAATTCGCTGTAAACTACTGGTTTTTTTTTTTTTTTTTTTTCAATTGCTGCACGTACTACGCGCAACTTGGGTGGTGGTTTGCTGTCGCATATATGGCGTTCAACTTCACTAGCGCCCTCTTGGGCTTCGTGAATATGGCGTCGACTTTCAAGCAGGATATGCCGCCGAAAGGTGGCTATCCACCAATTGATTACAAGCGAGTTCTTCCCAAGAGGGGAATGTCTGGTAATGAAGATGATTGTTTTTCATATTTAAAACAGTTAGTGTTCTTTTATGAGATATTTTCCAGAGTTCCTTTCGCAAAAATATGTGCTGAAATTGTCAAAAAATTGTCCGAATATTGGGCATGGTATTTAGCCTAGGGTAGGCATTATTACTCCCTCCCCCAGAACCGCGAGCCGCACTCCGTACGCAGAGTGTGCCTTGCAGTTCTGTGAGTAAGCCTACATGTAGGATAGGCCTAGAGACTGTTTCAAAATTGAGCAAATTCTGCAAGTAGGGCCTACATATACTGGTACTGGTAGTACTAGTAGGCCCAGGGGGGCTAGTACTAGTACTACGGCCTAGTAGTAGTACTAGGCCTAGTCATGCTGGTACTAGTAGTAGTACTAGTAGTACTACTATTACTAGGCCTAGTACTAAAGTAGGAGGTAGTGGACTGTGTACATGTACATGGCTCTCTTTTACAATCTGTTACAATCTGTCTCTTTTCTGTCGCCACCACAGCCCTACATCCATGACATCAGTACATGTACCTGTGGGGCTAGTGGCCTCCCGGCCCATACATGTACATGTACAGTACCTCCTACTTTAGTACTAGGCCTTGGCCCTAGTACTACTACCATGACTACTGAAGAGGTGGCTCTCTTTTACAGTCTGTCTCTTTTCTGTCGCCACCACAGCCCTACTTCAAGGCATGTCTTAAATCATGCCTGAAATCCAAACTGCAGTATTGTCACAAACTTTGAATCCTAATAATATCTTCCGAAATGAGAATGACTCGACAATTTTATTTACACCGGCGTATTCCTCAGAGTTTGAACTTTTATATGAGCACCCAAAAGCTTTCCCAAACCGTATATTTTCCGATGTATGGTGCCTTAAAAACCAGGCCTATAATATTTTTATGCTGACCATGGGCGGCCCCATTTTCAAAACCAAAGTAGCGCTTCTTGCATCGGGTTTCAAGGCACCCGACAGGTGCTCTGGTATAGCTTGTACCATACAAAACTGGTTCTCTATCACATCTTGCGTGACAGACGAACAAGGAACCGGTGAAATTAAATTTGAATAACACATGCATGTCACTGTATCATGCTGCACTCATGCTGTGGGCGCACTGTACACAAGCAAAGCGCACACGAAACTAAGCAATATTGTGACAACATGAATTATGCATCTACGGCACCTGTCGGGTGCCTTGACTTCTGGCACAAGAAGGGCTGCTCTTGTTTTTCAAAACGGCGCCGCCCATGGTCAGCATATAAATATCACAGGCCGGGTTTTTCAAGGCCTCATACAGTACATCAAAAAGCTTTAGGGTGCTCATATAAAAGTCCAAACCCTGAGGAATTCGCTGGTTTAAATAAAATTGTGGAGTCATTCTAAATTCAGAAGATATTAGCATTCAAAGTTTGTGACAATCCTGCAGTTTGGATTTCAGGCATTTAAGACATGCCTTGAAGTAGGACTGTGGTGGCCACAGATTAAGAGCCACTATACAGCCCTACGTGTGGGCCTAGGGAGGCCACATTACAGTGTGACGTCTGTGTTGAGCGCAATCTTTGAAAGTGCACAAATATCAATTTTGTGCGCATAATTTTTAAGTTTGTCGCAACTACGGATATTGTAGGAGACTAATATCAACTACACGTTTGCATGATTTTGTCGGTTCTTGTCCGCATGTGATGTGTGTGCTGCATGTACAGTACTTATATATATTGTACAGCATGATAAGTTTACAGGGCAGTGGCATGTACATCATACCGGCCGACCGCGAGAAATTTGATTCAGACTTTTCTTCCCTCTGGAAAAATTCCTCATGAAAGCTTTTAAGTTCCCCCGTTGACATTTAATTCAAAAAATTCTTAGAGCTGTTCGCATATCAATTAGAAATAAATTTGCGATAAAAGTAAGATCCCAGACAAATTAGATAACAATCAGGGAAAATAAGGATATTGAAATGACACCCAAAACTACCAATTACCTAGCCTTTACTCCAGACAACAGTTTCCCTGCTTGGTCTGCACAGATTTAATTACAATACGCACAACCGTATAAATATTGCTTAAGGAAAGTGGCACAAATTTAATATGTACACTTTCAAAGATTGCTCTGTGCTATCTCCACCTGCCCACCCTTGACATGCTTGAGCGATGCCCACACATCTACTGCAAGCTAAAACTAGGCTTGAAGTCCTTGAATTGAACATGTTTGAGGTTTAGTATGATGTGTCATTTGTTTGGAGCCCTCAAGCAGTGGTTGGCCATGGTCCAGGTATTGTAGGCTGCATCAAATATCACTCTGTCATGTCTGTAGCATACACATGCGTGAACTTACCAAATTGTCAAAAAGTTATAATGCCTTAAGAAATCTTGAACCAGCACAATAAACTACCACCAAGTATACCAAGGGTCAGAATTTAAGTTCACCTTTGTAAAGTACTGTGGATTTGTTGTCTTGTTTTGAAAAGTTGGTAGGCCTAGTGGCCTCCATTTTATATTTTCAGCTGAAAATAATTCTGCGCCCAGGATAAATGCAATGTGGAACTAGAGGTTTGACGGTTGTTAAAACAACCGCAGGCTGTTTCAGGATTTTTGAGGAAGCATTTAAAAAAATTAAACTAGGAAAATAGCAGAATGAATAGTAAACATTAACATTTCGGATTGAGAAGAGTGCTGAGCACTGGCTCTTGATAAACATCTTTGAAATCTGTAGTGGAAAGTGAAGTATTCAAAAATCAATAAAAAATACTTGATGACGTCCTCATAACGTCATAAATTTAGCCAAATGTTTTTATCAAGGTCTTGGTTGGCTGTAACTTTGATGATGACCACACATCTCAAAATTACCCTAATGGTGGGTTGAAAATGTGTACAAAGTCAATGGGCTGAAGTAAATATTGAAAACTCAATAATAAATCACAAGATGACATCATCATGACGTCATTTATTTAGTATAATTTTTGTATGAAGGTCTTTCTTGGCTATCACTTTCATAGCGATCAAACATCTCAAAGGTTTCAAAATAGTGCCTTGAAAATGTGTACAAAGTCAATGGGCTGAAAACTACTCCTTTAAGATGATGTCACGTGATTTGCATTTAAACTGAGAGAAAAATATGAAATATTATTTGATATTGAGACTCTTGGGTATACATGTTGTCAAACAAAGACGAAAAAACGATTTTTTTTTCATTCTCAGCAATTCTCAGTTGAAGTTCAGGACTACTCTCATTAAGATCGATAATATTGCGTAGCAGAAAAACGTGTACAAACCCTATGGGAAAAACTGCAGCTTTAATCTCATGCCACGTGACCCTTAATGAAGTAATTTTGACGATTCTTTTTTGGGAACCTCTCTCCATTAGGGACTTCAAGTGTACATTGAAAGAAATCATTCAGATTTACCAACGTGCCGAAAATAGGCTGTTGAAAAATGTGTACAAAACATATGGGCAAAATTAAATATGCAAAAATCAATTTAAAAATACGTGATGACGTCATCAAAAGTCATAAATTTAGCAAAATACTTTCATCAGGGTCTTTGTTGTCTGTAACTTTGATGTTGATCGAACCTTTGAAAATTGGCCAAATAGTTTCTTGAAAAACGTGTACAAAGTCAATGGGCTAGAAACACGTAATCAGGAAAACTGCTCCTTTAATTTCATGTCACGTGATTTTTGTCTAAACTGGAAAAAAATTATGACATATTTAATATTTGGACTCTTGGGTATATTTGCAATCGAACAGGAAAATTTAGTCTGATTTCTCTTTCGTTCTGGTAGTAATTCTTGGTCGAAGTTGAGGACTGCTCACACATTATGCTGGACAATGTGTGTACAAACCATATGTTGTGCAACAACGCCATCTATGGTTCAATATACGACAGTTTGTTGAAAATTGAAAGCCCAGGCAGGTGTAACAGTAATTCTGCAATAGCGCCCTCATAGCCTGATATGGGACAGTCCGAAAACTGTGTGCAATCTGTGTACAAAGTCTATGAGGAAAAATTCAAAAATATTCAAAAATCAATAATAAATAAACTAATTAAGTTATCACTGTGAATTTCTTCTTGGACCGTCCTTGGATGATTGTCTGCCAAGGTCTGAAAGGTCTGCCAAGTTTGAAGTCGATCAGATTTAGTAAACTGCCAAAGTCGACTGGTTGAGTTGAAAAAGAAAGAAAAAAACATCAGATACCTGATTTGAAAATACCTGTTTTGGCAAAGTTGCCAAAACAGTTAATAATCAGAAAAGCAAGAGCTGTTCCGGCTGTTGCCGAAACAGCTAAAAAATAATCAGAAAAGCAATACTGCCAAAACAGCTAATAATACTGTCACAATTCTGGTAGTTCCCCAGAGTAATTTGCTTGGAGCCCAAACCCAAGTGTTCAAGTACCAATCTCCAAAGACTTAATAAAAAGTACCTATTAAACTACCAACTGGCCCAGATAGTATGTGAATAGGTTGGAGCTTGGCCTTTGGTGTTCAAGTTTCAATCTCCAAAAGTTTGGGAAAAGACAGCAAAAACTTGCATAAAATACCATGGCCTTCTTGCGTACGTGTGAGCATGTCGAAGACAGAGTACTGGTGTATAAATTTAGTTTACTGTATTCTTAAGGCCTGCCTTGCCGAACTGCAATGTGGAAAAGTGGACAGTGTACATAAACGGCAGTCACATTACGGTTATGTGATTCTAGAAAACTTCATGTGTTCGTGAAAACTTCATGTGTTCATTGAATGCAATGATGAAAACACTTATATTAAACTGATTTAAATAAACAGTTGAAAGTGTTTTTTTTATAGGTTACATGATGTTTGCTACCTGTGCTGCTGTTTCGGCTATTGGAATATTTTTCTATGGCAGACACAACCGGAAACGAAGGTACCTGTCCTGATTCTCACAAAATCCAACACCAGCAATGTTCTCCAAGATTTTTCACTTGAGCAAAGAATGATGCACTGGCTGATCAGTGTTTACTGGTACCCTGAAATTGAATTGAATCATTTGCATTACCTATAGATGTATAGCCACGAATCCTTTCAGAAATTATGTGATGAAATAGTAACTAAACAGAGTTTCTTTTGCGTAGACCTTTACTGTGTCTCCATCTGCATGGACATACATGTAGTGTAGTAGTGCATGTAGAATTCACACCATGGTATGTGTAGATCTATCCAAGAAAGGCTACCAGTTCAATATCCTCTTATTCCATGTTTGTAAGGCTTCTTTTAACTTATTTGAGCAGAGCTTTAGCATTGAATTTTTAATAACATTCCCAGTACCTTGTTAAAGTTGACTCAAGACAAATGGAACCAACTTTTCACAATTAAATTAAATCCCGTACATTGACAAGAGAGCACCTTGGAACATCATATTAAACAGACAAATTATTTCAAACAAATACATGTTTTGTATTTTTCTTTTGTGTTAGATTGTGGGCCAGAGAGGAATATGAATGTTTCATTGGTATTACTCCTCTCTTAAAAGCTGAGGATGATCGACAGTAAGTTGTCTTCAAGTGTGTAGTTTCTGATTTGTTTTAGGAGCATTACTTCAAAGCCAACCACCCCCAAAATGGTTTCTGCAATGCAATGTTTTACACAAAACTTCCAAAAGGCATTTCAGTTTTTTCAAGTTGTTTCACTATTTAAATGAGCATACTTCTGCTTTATTATGCTAATATTTCTTTATCAATTGTAATTTCTTTCTGGGAAGAAAAGTTCAATGTTACATCAGTTTGTACTAAAAAATCCTCCCCCTCGTAGAGTGGGTCAGGTCTCCTAGTGATACTTACCCCTGCCCAGCTGAACTATTATAATAGGCGCTTAGGAAATTTGCATATGTAGGCTGAGCAAGGGTATGTAAACGCAGGAGACACATGATTTTTATTTTGCTGGCCTAAATTTTCTTTGTCTCTCGTGATTCATTTTTGTGTAAATACATACACATGCATAAAGCAAACAAGTAAACTTTACTCAGAAATGTTTTCAGTGAATGAAATTAAATTCTGGATTCCCAGTTTCCTTCATGACTTCACAGTAATAGCACCCTCAGTTGTCCAGAAAAGCATGGGCAATTTTGAATTTTTAAAAAAAATACACTTTTCAAGTCATATGAACTAAGGGGAGTCAAACAGTTTTAATACATTGAAGAAGAGTAAAACGTTGCACAAAAATTTTTTCAAGGAAAAATTCTGGAGACGGAATTTGAGTTTAAAGTCTTCACTTCCCTGTTGCTCCACTGGTGGCCCTGGAGGAACGTCGCCAGTCGTCAATATTGATGTCAATAGTTGCTACCTAATTTACGACCCACTCTTCTGTGGCGAATATTGATGCCAATATTAACGACCAACATTCATGACTCCTTCTCTGGTCGCGAATATTGCCGTCAATATTCAAAGCCCAAATCCACAACTCACTCTCTGGTCGCAAATACATGTATTGCTATTAATAATTGCAACCAAAATTCACAACTTGCTCTTCAGTTGCAAATATTGATGCCAATATTTGTGACCAAATTTACAACTTGTATCTTCGGTCGCAAACATTGCCGCAAATTTTCTGGCAAGCTAGGCGGAAATGAAGTGTTCATACACACATGCAATTACCTACATTTTTCGGCTTGCAATATTTCGACCAGAGAGCAAGTCATGACTATTGGCGTCAATATTCGGGACAGAAGAGTGGGTCGTAAATTTGGTTGCAAATATTTGCATCAATATTGATTAGAGATGTCCCTCCAGGGCCACCATCCTCCACACCTCTCCAGAGGCATTCTAAACCAGAAATCATCATAATACTCCACAGTAAGTTCACTACTTATTACCATGAACCTTCACTTTGTTCTCTGGATAGTGAGACTGCTACATTTGCTGACACATTTCTGGTTTGGTTTTTTTCAAGGACGCTGAAACTGCTGAAAAGTAACTTGGAGCAAGAAGCCATCATCATGAAGGATGTTCCTGGGTGGAAGGCAGGAGAGAGTGTCTATGAATCCAAGCGTTGGATTGATCCCATGTTACTTGATCTTTACTACCTCCATCCCAGGAAAGTCAGAGAAAAGGAGTCCTTTGGATTCTCTACCTATGTATGAGGTTGTTGTTACTATGGTTAGACAGCACCAATTGCTTTGTTTACAGTGAGTTCAATTTAAAGCTAGGAGGGTGACCATAGTGAAAACAGTTGAACTAGTTGTGATAAAAACTTATGCAGTGCGTTCTTTGTAGCATACAGCTGTTGCTAATTTATGCAGAAAAGGTTTTTCAATTAGCCTTGCAGGACTTTTGTCATACACCTGAAAACTTTTTTTTATGAAAGGTTGCAAATTACCATCAACCCTTACCCCTTGCTCCATTCATGTTTGCTGTGTTGGCCATGCAGTATTTGAACTGATTTGGGATGGTTCTGAGCAGAAATCCAGAAGGAATTAGGACATCAGAAAATTGATTAACCTAGTTGAAAGGTTAATGACTTATTGTCGTGCATTTCCCAGAAATTCCCACATCTTCCAACCACGTTTTCATCTCCAGCATGATGATAATGTATTTACTACGATAAATTAGGATGTTTGTGAGTATGAGTGATTGCCTTGATTACCATTTAACATGTTGGGATTTGATTGCATGTTTAAAAATGTTCACTGCTTAGTGGTTCCAGTAAGATTAATTTTTTCCATGTGTGTGTTTCATGAGACAGTGTCACGCACCAGACCACAGAGGAGACATAAGTTGTAAATAAAACTATCGATCCGGTTTTGAATCGAAACAAAGAGATTTAGGCCTGTTTTTGTGTTACTCTGCAGTCTGCCATGTATCATACATGCACGAGAAATTCAGTGTTTATGATGGTTATGCAAAAGAGTTATATGATTTACTGGAATCATTGGAGTAATTCCTCTCAGATGTATGTATGTACTGTCACAGGTTTCCTCTTGTAATTTTGCATGGTGTTAAGTCCCCTAACACTGACCTTATACATGTTGAGTCATTCAAAATTTACTGATTTGTTTTCTGCCTTTTCACTTTAATCCTGGTAAAATGTTAAAATATGCTGTTTATATGCCAATTAAAACACACTCAAGAAAGATGAATACATGTACATGTATTTCTTACATTGCTTGAGATTTAGTGAAATTCTAATTGATTGCAGGCAGTTTTATGCATTTCTGTTTCATACAGAGTTGAATTAGAAAATGCCAGAGGCCTGCAGGTGGACAGGTCAATAAATGAGCATTTGTCAAAGCAGTAAGCTTTAGCAAATAGTTGAAATAGCATAATTGAAATATTTCTACAGTTCATGATGCTGGTGTTCATCAGAAATGGATATAATGTTGAACAAAACAAACTTTAGATCAAGCTTTAATAGTTCAGAACCGCAAGCCCTGTAGCGCACTTTTTATGCAGCTGGAAATGTTCTGTCTTTGTACGAATTACGTGTCCACATGGACTTGAAATAAAGCATTGACCTATGTCTCGGACATGCTCGACTTTTGATGAAAAAGAAAAGAAATAATTCTAAACTCTCTTAATCAGGACCCAAGCATGCAGCTTTAGGACTGTCAAAGATATTTCAAATTTCTGTAGGATTCAAAGTAATACGCTTTTTCTAATCCCTGTCTGCTTTATCAAAATCATGCAAAAAAAGTAAAAGGAAATGTTACAAACACTTCAGTTGTGAAAAGGAATCAAATTTTGCCCACCTAAGTCACAAAAAGGAATAAAGATTTGTTCGTGATCCATATTCTACTGTAAAATAACGACTATACAAGGTTAAAAGAACTGGGAGCTTATTACATGCTTTGCAAACCATGTTTAAATAAGACATGCACACAAAATAATTATGTTCACAGTTATTTCCTAAAATATATTTGTGTAGATGTTAACTTTTGGCTCCTCATATTGTCATAGTTCCAAGAGGCACTGAACTTCTTTGTAATTTTCCACTGTCGTACTGGTATCGATCAACCCTCTTTGCTGTGTAGGAAGTCAAGTGAGTAGTATTAAACTCACGATCGGCATGAAGAGGCGGAGTGATGTTTGATCGACGCAACTGCAAGAAAGATAGCGGCAACAAATTTAACTTGCATTGAATCAATGTAAGGTTGATAGAAATCAACTAGGATGAAATGACAAATTTCTATTGAGTTGGAGACAAAATTTTTAATGGAAGTTGCATTAAGAATTTTATTGAAAAAAGTGCCATGCTTTTTTTGAGCTGAATTTTTCATAATTATGCCTGTTCCTACTCTTTAGGCAAACATCTAGTGCTAAATTTGAGCTTAGATTTGCCAAAGTTACCTCTAACTAAAGGGTTATTCATCAGTGATGAATAACAGATTGATATAGTTTCAGTCTGATTGTCTTAATACCGTTACATACATTTATTGCAAGTCTATCAATATTTATCAACCACTAACTTTACACATAATGTAGCCTTTGGCTGCACATAATATTCAGTGATTTCATAAAGCTATCTGTATGTAATTAAGTAATCCTTGAGCACATTGACATTTTATTACCTTAGCAAGTGCCTCCTTGCTAACTTCGTGTAATGGCACATCTCGCCAAGATGGAAAGTCATCTTTTGTAGTCGATGTATTCACCTCTTTACCTGTCAGTCAAGAAACAAAATGAAATCACATCAGACTGAACTGTAAAAGTTCTTTTTTACCGTTTGAAAATCAACGAAGTGCAAATTGTCTTACAGAACGCCACACAAATATCCTAGGTGTGTAAGATAATTTCAATTTCATTCCAGGCACTATACTGAAAGTAGCATTTGTTCCCAAGATGTAAATTTCCTCTGAGCTTATGTAATGATGTATTTTTACTTTTCCAAAGGCACTTCGTAAAAAGATAACTTTGACAAATACGTTTGTTGTTGGAATCCAGTAAAATTTGCCATTTACTCTCACCATTTCCATAGTAATCCAGAGGCACTTGACTCTGGATCGTCCCATGTCCTGCAACACGTTGTACCGGTATATGGAATGTTTTATAGTCGTCTGTCTGAGTCGTGGAGTAATATGCAGAGCATTGACTGGGTACTCCAAATGCTACCCGACTGGCTGTAAGTTTGTTGGCTCCTTTGATGATGTCATTACGGAAACTCCCAGGTGGCTGTGATCAAGAAAATGAATCTGTGTTCAGTCATTTAGAGGTTGTACATACTACAGTTGTGTGTTCGAAAAGAGAAGAAAGGAAATAGCCATCCTCGCTCCCCTCTACGAATTACGGTCATTGACCTCATCAACCATCTACTGTCGTCGCCAAATCATACAACATCATGCATGCTTTGGTCTTATTCTTCATTCCCTTTGGGTAGGCGACCGTCTTCACTTCTAGACTTCAGGAAATATAGCAGTTAGCAAATCATCATTTATAATTCGGGTTCACTACGTTGTTGTACTAAATATGTTGAGATTCCATATGAAATTTTCCCAGATGTGTTTGTCAAAAGTTTGGAAAGGTTTCACAAAGGCTAACCTGTTTGTGGTAGAATGTGTAATTGGTGGTAGTCACTCTGGCTTTTACTCTTTGAGGGTCCCGATCACCTTCTGGGAAACTGCTGGCATTGCTGTCGTAAGGGATTTTCTCTGTCAAGGCTGTAAAATAACAAAACATCTAAAGGACTTCCATCTTGAAGTGAGTCACGAAGTCTTTGGAAAAATCATGGTTTAAAATGTTACCTTCAAATAATTGGAATTTTTAAAATGAGTGTTTGTCCTTTGGCTGCATAAGTGTTCCTGTCCTTGTCAGAATTCCTGATCTTTTTTGTTCATCATCTGATTGGACAGTGTCCTGTACCATCGGCAAGATACTTGCAGTAATTTCTCTGTTTACTGCTGTTCATTTCAGATAGCTTAGCTCAGAGTTTTGGGAAAGTACTTTCGATTCAAGGTCCTGCTTGATCTGAATCTTCTCATAAGATTGAGTTCTCCAGAGTAACCAATAACTCATTAGTTTTTATACACGCCATGGACCAACAGAAATCAAAGTAACAAACCTGGCATTTGATCCAACTGGAACGATTGCGCAGCTGTAGTCTCAAACTTGTCATACTTCTTTGCATGTCCAGCCTTGTAGTTAGTGTCACCTAGCCTAGTAAGAGCCTGGTCACGTCTGTAGACGCGATAATTGGCTGTGCCAGGCTTAGGGTATGACAGAAGCTGAGTGGTATCTTGATGAACAAGTTTCTCCTGGTCACCTTTTGGAATATTGGAGCCTAAGAGCTGTTGATAAAAAAGACTTCTACTAAAATCACTGTGTTTCTGCCAACAATCAGTGTTTCAGTGGGGACTAACAGAAGCTCATTCACAAGACCAGATTCGATTAGTCACAAAACCAGTCACAATAGTGTCCTATACCTAAATGTTATACGTTTTGTCTATATCTTCTGTTTGTATACAGACTATCCAATGCTGTTTCACTCAGCTGTCGAGGTTCCATCCTCATTATGCTGATTTCACGTTATATCTTTTATTGTTATGTCTATGTACTATAACTGGTTTCTGGCCAATGAAATGACTGTCATCCCTATCAATTTAGCTCATCCATGCTCAAAGATAATTATGTTCTAAACTTAATTTCATTTGCACTCACACTTGTTTAGGTTTAATGGTTTAAATTCAGGTGAATTCATTCACTTTCAGAGTTAAGCAAAATTACAATGATGAAAATGTGGCAAAAAGCAGGCGTTTTGGTAAGATTATTAGAAATTGATATCAGTCAATTTTTTTCTTACATCTGGTTTGACGGGAACATACGGCAGGTATCTACCAAGGAACTGCTCTCCTGTTGAAGTAGCAAATTGCTTATGGGTTCTGTCTTCTCCACGAATTGTACTTTGGCCACCTGAACAAGATAAGAGAAAACTGGCAGACATTAATAAAATGGATCTGTTCGGAGTAATGAACTAGAAAGCATTCTAGGCCCAATTTAATCTGATGAACCGCATTTCATTCATGAAAGACGTGTGCAGTACACTATTACTTGTATTTGTTAAGTTTGTCATGCATCCCTGGCACTTTTCTTCCCATTTCAACTGCAGCGATTTATTTTAAAGATCATTGTGTTTGTAAATTCTAAGAGATTGAAGTTCTTTCTTACCGTCATGCATACATGGCGCTCTCTCTACCTTCACCACTCTAGTATCGTGACCCAAGAAGTTATCTCTGTAATCAGACTGTGGCATCTTCTCTTTGTCTTTATCACCTTGGGGTACGTAGCTCTTCATAGCATTATCCAAGGGGAAGCTCATGCTTAAGGGCTTAGGGTAGTAATGACTAGCATGTGTGGTGTGAAAAGAATCAACTCTGTTGTCTGAATCCATCTTGAAGTTAGTCTTATTGAGCTTTAGACACATTGGCACCTTAGGTAAAGTGCGACCTGTAAATGCTGCGTTGGACTCGGTTGTTGTCTGACTCCCTTCATAGGGATCACGGTGCATGACATCAGCAGGTGGTGGTGGATCTGAGGCAGCTTCTCTGCCGTAATGTTCATGTGCGACATAGTCCTTCGTGAAAGTGCTGCGCCTTAAGGCGCTACGCGAAAGACGCTTATCATTACCAATACGGAAGTGGGAAGCAGCCAGGAAGTCTTTCCCTTTGAGCTGAGCTGGGATGGAATTGATGGCTGGGAGAATGACTGATTCTGACGGCATCTTGATGAATGAAAATAACGAGCTTCAAGATCTAAACACGCTTCTCGAAGGCTTTATTCCAGAGTAGCTGTCAAAAAGATCGAATCCTGTCCGTGGCCTGTGTGGTTACCTTGTCAGAAATTGGGGGAAGTTTATATTAAAATAATTAGCGATGTTTCGATAAACAGTTATGTACACTTGTCTGAAAATTTAAGAAATTCAGCATATTGTGTTTGTATTATATTTTCTTTCTTACGATACGTCTGCTTAACGTATTGGTTTCCTTGGTGATGAATATGACAAGTAACGATGTCAGCTTCACCAACTTGTGTTTATTGTTAACCCAAACTTGAACTTTGGAGGCAATAAAAGCTTCGACAGTTTTGCTGCTCATTGTTCATTTCGTATTCGGTAAATAGCACTTATACCAAACACTTCACTTCTACACAGCAACGAATCGGTTTCAGTATACTCGATCCGTGCGTCATTTTTATTTTTCGTTCATGCAACACTCATAAAATGGCACGATTTACAGTAAGAGGGCAAATGTCACGAAAGGTATCATGCCTAGACGGTCACCTGCCAGCAAATGAATTCAAGAGTTGGAAAACCGAATATCAACAAATAGGGTGTAGATCTCGCAGGCAATAAATAAAAGCCTACAATACTGCAAACCAGCTTACACGTATTGTGTTCGAAGGTGTTTTTTCCCATATCTTTGGTCCTAATTTTCAAGCGCAAAGATTGATCTGTGAATTTACGTATCCCATCGGTGTTTCCATTTTGAAACAAAACATATTAGGGCTTGGAATAGTCTGTTCAAAGCTAAAAAACTAGGCTTCACGTTCATAAAAAAGCTAACACATATTGAACCGATTGTTTGCTCAGCTGAGTTGTCTGAATCTACAAAATGGAATCACAAACGAGTTTGTTAACAAAATCAATTTTAACACTGAATATGGACAGTTAATTTCAGCTGATAATTTTCTGTTGTATGGACATTTCTGTAAATGTTCTCTTTTTTGCAACAGATTGTTTCAAACATTTTTTGTTTGTAATTATTGGCTGCAATGCATTTCTTCCCTTACGTACATTTTGTTTAGACATCGATATCAAGAATGTCCAAAACGCAAGGACTATTTAGCGCATGATGTCGATGGAACCGTGATATTGAGAATGAAACAGCCTGACGGGTTTATTCTTCCTCTTGAAAATAGCAACTAGTACCCATAAAAACAGCATCATACCAGTGGCGTAGCCTAGGGGGGTCGGGGGGCACGTTCCCCCCACATATTCCTGGTGCCCTCGGATGGATGGATATTGAACAAGGATAACAACAACTTGCCCAAAAACCAAACCACTGAAAGCTGGTGCCCCCCTCCTTCCCCATGAGACGCTGGTGACCCCTAATAAAATCCTAGCTACGCCACTACATCATGCCAACTTTACGACATGTGGTATAATAAAGACTAATTCATTTAATTTTTACTCTATAATAATTGTATACGAACGGTGAAAGGATAAAAGGGACTAAATCAACTACATGTACCGACAAACGATTATCAGTTAAAGGCTCGTCTTTTTTTATTTATTTAATTTTTTGCCAATGCTTTCCATCATTATCGAATAAGGTAAAGACTTCACAGCCTGTTGCATATGCTGACGTTTTATCACCTGACATTTCTATTACATATGAAAACAAAACAGAGACCTTTTTGCGTACCAGTATTGGATATTTTACACACCTCCCACCACGGTAGAGTAAGGTATTTTGCGATGGCTGTTTCCATGTTTTTAACTGTTCCCTCCAATTTATCCTTTTTAATACATGTACTCAGATAACAAAGCGGCCCTACACTGCAGAATGCAATAGTTTACTCGCAGGATTTCTATCATTTACACACCCTTCAGAAAAGCGCATCGGTTACATGGCACTTATCTGTTAGACAAACAACAGTCTCTTACAAGAGTAAACAAGTTGTATTGTGACCGTTATGTGGACATGATCATCTCCTTATGACATGGGCACATTCTAGTCCCGTACAAGGGCGATCACGTCACCACTGGGAGAACACATTTAATTGCACGTTATTTTGTTTCATTTTATGTTAAAGAATGAAAATGGGGAAAAAACACAAATTCGCTTTATGAGGACTTTGTATCTCTAAGATTTTACCCTGAAAAGATTTCATCCAAAAAATAATTGTCGCAATATTTCCCTTCCATCGATTCAAGGCACCACAGGAAATCGTTGTTAATATCTTTGCTCATATCATAATTTTTCTTTATATTTATCAATGCTTTTCTTACCCACCCAACAAATAGCATTAGATGGGTCGCGTTATTTACTGCCCCATGGTTATCCTGTAAATGCATTCCCATTTCGGAACAACTCTTTTCTCCTCTCGTGAACTTGTCGCTAACGATTTCCAGCTATTAATAACAACCGGTGTAAAGCAAGAAATAAACCTCCAAGTATAAAGCCATGGTGTCGATGTTTCGGTCTTATAAGCTAATACAGACAATGGGGTTTTATCTGCGCACCATGAAGTATGCACATGTGCAAATTCATGCATGCGTTGATAACCCTGTAATGGTGATACAATTTAACTTGACAACAAACTACTCTACTGGAATTCAGCTCCAAAGACGCTCTTCTGTTCATTTCTATTTCAAATTCAAACTATTTTAGTAGTACATGCATTAAAACAGCGAACTTTTTGACAATGCTGAGATCTCTGTCGACAAAAAACAGCAAAGTAATCGTTACCTTGGCAACTTGTATATAGTACGAGCATACATAATATAGGAACGTACGAGTGGCAATGCAGTCCACAAGGACTAGCCAAAAAGGATACGAGCCTTAGCAAAACGATTGAGTAGTTCCCCTCTGTCTCTTAATTCAGGCAGAATTTCAGAAGGAATAATGTTAATGGACTCACCTTCTTAAGGTGTCAAAATACTCCTCTGATTGCAGAAAACGTTGCTAAATTTAGCTGCTTTTATGACTGGCATTTTAACAAAGAAATTTCAATGTTTGACAGCAGTTTCTATGTAGAAAACCAGTCCTCGTACGAAGTTGTGCGCGACTACTGTGGGTTTGCCCACAGCGTGCGTCCCATCGCGGATCTTTACACAGTGTGCGCTCAACGTGTTCCCTATAAGTTGCCGTAACCATGGCTACGGTGCTCCCTATGTGACGGGACAATGCCCCCCGTCAGGCGTTGATTATGGGGGCGCTTTGACAAATGACAACAGGGATTCGTGGCGGGTTAAAGGCACAAGGCCAGGAGTTGAAACATTCACCCGTAGTAAAGCATGCACACTTGGCGAGCAGTGTCAGAGAGTACAACTCGTATGCATGTCTGTATTGATTTTCAGTTACGTCCACTTGTTGGTCTACAGAGCCCTTTAGGATACGGGAACTACATGTATTTGGTTCGGCATTCTTTCCCAATGATCCTCATGTACTTATCTCTGTTTCAATAACCATTACTGTGCGAATGAAATCAACCAGCCAATAAAATAGTCTTAGTTGTGACCCACCTATGTAACTTCGTACTCATATTAATTGAAAGTAGAATACTGTTCAACTTTAGAGAGCATTATAGACCGTGTCACTAGCTGGCAACTGTTCGCAGTTCATAAAATTATTTTGTTCCTTGCTTTTGATCTTTTGATTCCTCGATCAGCCACTGCATTCATGGGTGCCCGGGTATGACGCCTTGGGCCCGGGAACCTCTTCGTTTGGTTTCCCCTGTGTACTACAGGGGTAACCCTGTTCATCATAATTAATGTTAGAAATGCACCTCGCGCTTGTGGTGCTGTTGCACGTGAAGACGCCCTCAAGTGGTCTATTTAGACATCTCGCTCGCGCGTTTCTTGAAATCATGATGGCGACTGAATCAAATGTAACCAGCGCAACGGAAACGTTGAAGAATGAGCCACAAGCTGGCGACTCTACCTTAACACTTTCTAAAGTTGAGGAAGGAGTGACTGATGAAGGATCTCATATGATTCGCCTGAGGGAGGCACTTCAGAAAACTCTCAAAAAATGTCTCGAGGCAGGGAGGTAAACAAAGCGGCTGCATTATACACGTATGGAATGTTTATGCATTTATTTCCGACACATACCGCAAGCGCATGTTGACATTTTATTCGTAAAGTACAACTCTATTTTTGAGGACTATGCTAAGTGAAACCCTCTATGCGCATCTGTGTGTATGTTCAAGCCTATGGAATCTGGATTTTGTACAGCTATTTGTATTTTGTTAGCTCTACTGAGTGTAGCCCCATGCCCGTCTGTGGCATGGACTCTCACGCCCGATCCATCCTTAGCCACACATCCGTATACGCAATTTCGTGTCGGCGTACTGAACATTTTCGGCGCACCCACTTATTATCGTGGGTGCAATTTTTTTTGCACACGAACATGATCCTTGACCTTTCCGTTGTCTAAAAACCATTTATTGAATGATTTCACTCACATTATTCAGGTATCCAGTCTTTTGGCCTTTATCCATTCAATCTAACGGGCTCGCTCTCTCAGTCGCAATCTTTAAAATAAGATCGTTGAACAATACGTCACTTGACTCCTCATCGGCTCGACGGCTGTTCCATTCCAAATGGCTAAGGAAAACTTTTTGGGCTTAAGTTTAGTGATATTTCTGACTTCAAAATCTGACTGTTTTCGATCGACACGCATGACACCTAAACTTTTCGACACCTGCTCCATTCAAATACACAGGCCAAGATTTTGCCACTGCAATAACTCTATGGGCGAACATGGTCCTCCCAGAAACATGCATGAGTGGCCTATACGTGGTCTGGGCACAAGACTTGTTAATCGTGATGGTTGGGAGTGCTACCAACGACTGTTTCCTGGTCAAAATGTCTTGTGCCCCGACTACATATGGGCTTCTCCTGCAGTTTCATTAGAGTGTTTACCCATAGAGTTATTGCACCAGCAAAATCTAGGCATGCATTTTTGAATGGGAGGAGGCGGCGAAAAGTTCAAGTGTCGTGCATGTTTCGAGCGAAAACAGTCAGATTTTGAAGTCGGAAATATCACTAAAGCCCTAAAAGTTTTCCTTTGGCATTTAAGAAAGCCAGTAGGTGGTGAAAGAGGTATTTTTGGTGAGTCTTTGGAATTTTTGAGAACCGTTGTCACTTTACTATATGTAATGTCGTGGAGCGTTAGTATGACCGATCCCGCCAAAATGAAAAAAGAGGAATACTAAAGCTCCACTCCGTACAGCTAGTATTTTGTTATCATAAGTGTGTTTTGTTTTCATTATCTTTTATACTTTTGTTTGTTTCTAGATACAGTGTCTTTGCCCGTAGCTACTCTTTTGCTCATGAGAAAAGTCCAGAAGCTTTAAGAAGTATTAGAGAGCAATTCCTGGAAAACCTGGAATCATACGTTCAGGTGAGTTTCATTTTGTTTTTAGGGAAAGGTGTTTAGAATGAATTTAGACCATCATCAGTGACAAAAGGCAATGCATAGATGAATTTTTTTCCTTGCATGTGACAGAATGAAACTTAAATCATTTTAAAGTAAAATTGTTTTTAATCACTAAACTTTATGAAATTATATTTCTCCCCTTGAAACTTGTCCTCAATATTGTGGGTTTCTTCCACACCTGGATAAAAAGTGTCTTACGCTTATTCATGCAGTACATGTACTTGAACAAGAGTTGTACTCGTAAGCCTGAAAGACATCTGTATCAGTAATTTTTCAATACAAAAAAGTTTGTACAGTGAGTACATTTTGTTGCTGGTTCAAAACTGTTGGTGAATATAAACTTGGAAACCTTTTCCCAAATTACAGCTGTTATAACTTTTTTCTGACAGAAAGAATTGGAGTTAATGATTGAAGAGGAAGGTTTGGTTAAACTGTTCAATGAATTGGATCAATATATACAGGATGCTCCTACACAGCTTACACAGCCAGCATGGTAAGAATGCTATCAAATTAAAGCTACAGTCTCAGGATTGTTTGATTTCAATCACTCACTTTAAGTTCTTAATTTCAATCATGATTTATATCAAATGGAAAAATGTAAGTATCACTAATAAAAATTATGTTTTAATCTTTCATTGACTGCTATTATTTTTTAGGTAAAGACAAAGTCTGTAATTGAAACCTGCACTTTTTTCCATTTTGAATCACTGTCACAGTTGAGTTCTTTATTTGATTTGCAGACATGACATGTGACATCAAATGGAATGTTTTCCTTCACAGATTTTATGGTATACACAAGGTATTGAGGCAGGTTACAGCCCCACAAATTCACCAGTATAAACCTCCATCTGAAAAAGCATTAATATTGACTACAGTTCAAAAGGATTCTTTTGTGGAACAACGCTGGGCTTGAAGAGCAGGGCAGGAACTTCATTCTTGAAAGGGCAATGCAATTATCCATTTGCAAAGGGCGCTTGTATCAGAAAATCAACTGGTCCAAAGGGACATTTCAATGGGCAATGAGGCAAAGACCAGGGGCACCAAGGCAGTTGCCTCTGATGCCTCTGTGAAGTTTCTGCCCTGGAAGAGAGTTGTATCCTTATTAGAAGTTATTTGTTGGTCTGTTACATTTCTGGGGAGTCAGGTTGGCATATTGGTCCTTTACTTGCCTTCCACCTCTTTGGTCTCGGTTCAATTCCCAGCTCGGTCCACACGTCAATTGGGTTTTCAGTCCCTACCTGATTCTGTGGGGTTGACCCAGAATATTTCTCTAGAATTTTCCTACCCACCTCTAAACCTGTAACTAATCATTGTCTCCTCTCTATACATTTCTTTAGGCTTGCAAGCTACAGTGACTTGGGCACTGTTGAGAAATCCTTGGTGTCATTACCAGAAATAATTAATAATACTAATGATAACAATGTGTTCATTGCTTAGGAGACCATCAGGGAACCCAGTGGAAGATTCCAGAAGCCATCTCGTCCAACCTAAACTAAAAGAGAAAGAGAGATTAGAGCATCTTTTAGAGCAGATAGAGCAAGAAAACAAACGTCTTCATCAAGCACTACTACCACGCAAGCAATATCTACTATCTACTAAACAGAAGATTACTGAGAAACTGAAAACATTTGACAGGGTACGTATAACTGTGATCTAGGAAAATCTAATATTAACATACTGTTCCTGAAAATGAAACTTAAGCTGATTGGACCTTCACTGGGAAGACAGTCAACTGAGAATTGTCCGCAAAAAGACTAAATTTCAAGCCTGATGTCACCTAATACCATGAAGCTTCTGGCATGAAATATCACTTAGGTATACACGAGGCTATTTCGTGTGCAAGACATGATGGGTAAGGTGAAAATAAACTAAAAGTAACAGACAATGTATAACAGTACAGAATAAATCTGAGTGTTTGGCAAAGATCCTGACATCGGCAGCTGCTTCCAGTGAGAAAAGATGAACAAAAAAGGATGGTTTGTTGCAACAGCAAGCAGTGTTCTCATCCCAGAAGGAAGTATGGATTCTTCAGATAAACTGCTACTGAAAATGTTTTGATAATTTGGACACATTGCCAAAGATGTCCAGAGCATACCATAAGATAAACCAAGAGACATTTTCTCACGAAAGTATTTTAAAAAGCAAAAATGTTTATGTAATGTTACCACAAACCATACCTTCCACTATCCAAGTGTCAAATCTATTATTTTAGCTTATTTCCCCTTTTTACTATTATTTTATTTGGCAAAAATAAAATGAAATAAAAATAACACTTTTTTCTGTCAGTATTTGTGACATTTTTTTAAAATTCCTGATGCAATGTTTTGAGTTAGCTGGAAAAAGAATTAAAATTATTTTGTTGTCCATAATACATGTATACCAAAAGTGCTGAACCAGTTTATCATTTTAGTTTTTTATTCTTTGAATTTTTTCTGCCCTTCAACCCTTCCAAATTCATGCTTTGTTCAGAACCCCCCAAATAAATAAAATCTGGCCTAAGGCCAGATGCATGTACATGTAACATGCATCATTTCAGCTTTTGTATACCCGTATACCGTCCACTATAAATACTAAACCTGTCAGAGTTTGCCTAAATCCTTGCATTGGTTGGTTTTCGAGCACAGGCTGTGGCTGCCTGTAGGAAAATTCCTGCAGATGAAATGGAGGAGATGAGTGCTACATTGTCTGGTGCTATCTGATGATGATGGGATCAAGAACCAGGAGGTACATGTATAGTATAATCCAGGGATAAGCAGTGTGCATGGATGCAAGCCCTTTGTAAGCTGTGTACAGTCTGCTTCAGATGAATCCATTCAGATACAGTCATCATTGATGGGGATTTGTAGCCAAGGACAGCTCCTTCACAGAACATAGCTTTTTTTAAATGAACAGTTACTGACCACTGTGGAATGGACTACTTTTTTGTTGATAAGGAATAATTGACTGGGAAGATTGAGTTGAATTCAGCAAAATAATTGTTGCATTATAAAAAAAAACTGTCTTTAATCTTCAAAGTGACTCCATTTTGAAGTATTTTCTTCTGCTTGGATCCTAAAGTCCAAATTAAAAACAAGACACAAATTTCTTTCCAAAATGTATGTGAACTGGTCATACGTGTACATATTTAAAGTACATTATTTTTAAGAGTGTAAAAAATTAATTTCAAGTGCCCTATTTATTTTATGAGCTGAAAGGCTCAAGATGAAGGTATTTTTCCAGCAACTGTAAACAGGCAAATGAAGGAGTGTGTTCTAGAACGTACCACTACACAACTTATATCAAAATCAAATTTGCACTTTACTGCAACTTCCGTAACGGTATTTCAAAATGTGTCATTTAAATGTATTCTGGATACTAAACAATGATTGTTTCGTAGTCATTGACTTCTTTTAGGTAGAAAAAAATATATAGCCTTAAGGAAGACGTGGCTAGAAGTTGCACATATGTAGATCAAACACTTAATGTAATCATAATATAATTTTAAAAGAATTGGTTTAAGGAGGGCTGGATTTGCTAGCCATTAACACTTAATACACTCCCAAGCCACCACAAAATTACAACATTTAATATTTTGTTACAAAATTACTTTGAATAAATAGATTTCATCATTCTGAGAAGGCTTTTGAAACTCAGTGGCAAAGAATCCATTCTCAAGCTACCAGGTTGACAGTGTTAATGTTGGTTGGGGCTTCTTCAAAATTCTTGAGACCCAGCTGACAGCCGATTCACAAGTAAAAGTTGAGCTTGGCACATGTACTGATACACGCTACTGATGTTCAAGGAGAAACACTTAAATTTCGTTTCCAGTCAAATGGGGCTGGTGTTTGATTTCGAGTAACACCAGGATGATTAAGACAGCCCCTAACTGAATAGGAAGGTAGTGAACACTAATTACATGCCATGAACAAACTAGATTTGACCCCAAGTCATACGGTAATTTGTAAGTCACTGCACTAACAATTTGTGTTCTGTGATCTTTTCAACCTAATTTCAACTGCCTTTTAGAGGAAATCAAAACCACCCCACAAAATATGACCAAGATTAGGGCTGTGTATTGTTCAACATTAAACACAGTATAGTTTTAGTGGTTGATGCATGCGGGTCAAGTGGTCAGAGCTAACTTGAGCTAAAGTTTGGCTTGGAATCTGTTTAAAACGTTGGTTTGAATGATTGCCAAATCAAAGGTTTTCAATTTTTGTTGACACAAACTGCATACATGTAAAAGGTTTTTCAAATTTGCGCCACTATTTGACATCGATGAGCATCCTTGTAAGATGAGTTCTTGGAACTTCAAGAAAGGAAGACTGAAGTCACCAAAGGTTCTTGCATCTTAGGAATTCTTCTGAGGTATCTTGATAACAACCTAAAACAAGTTTCACACAAATAAAATAAGTAAGCAACTTCTAATGATATATACCGAGTAAAATCAACAAGTGCAGTAAATTCATATTGCAGTTTGCATTCACTGACAAAGATGTGTGTGGCACATATGTGACATGTGACGGCACATAAAACACAAGACATACTTTCTTCAGGCAATGCAACTTTCCTTTAAAAATAGTTGCTTTCTTTTTTCAGCCCAAGGGTGAGCTTTGTCAGGATTTTTCCTGATTATCAGGATTTTTCATCAACTATTTTTTTATTTTAGGATTTTGGAAGAATCTTTTAAAATCTGAAATATCCCGATTTTAACTCTGGGGTATTACATGCATATCTCAAAAGGCAAAGGCCTTTGAGAAAGATTCTGCTAGGATCAAGACGTCAGGCCCTCCATATTTTGAGATTTATATTTTAGGTCATTGTAGTCAGCAAGCAGTTTGCAGAAGTTTTGTATTACATAACCTGGGGTATTATAAGTTGATATAGAACACAAGAAATGGGTATTTGAAGGAGTGCCTTTTGGCAGGCACAAATGTTTGCCATAGACACTACATCA